TTTTTAAAAAAAATTAAAAACTCAGGAGCTGGGCTGGGGAGATAGCTCAGTGGCATAAGCAGTTGCTTGGCAAATGCAAGGTCCTGAGTTCGATCCCCCATGCCAATAGGAAACACACACACACACACACACACACACACACACACACACACACCACCTTAGGGGCAGATGCAGTGATACCCTTGTAGACCCAGCTACGTGGAAGGCTGAGGCAGGATGATCAAGGGTGCCTGGGTGCTTAAGGCTATCCAGGGTAACATAGCAGGACCCTGTTTCAAAAGAACACAAATTTTAAAACAACTAAAAGACAAAAAAAGCTCTGGGGCCAGCGCAGATCTTGATTAAATATCTGTTCACTCTGAACTGGATCCACAATGTGAAGAGGGGGGCAGGGAAAAGTCTTAAGTTTCCGAGACTCCTGCTGGGCGGGGTCTGTTTCCCTTTCTTGAACTTTAGTCTCCTGTTTTCTAAGAAGAATTCCTAGTATCTCTGTGAAGATAAACAAAGCCACAGGAAAAGCGAAAACATCTAGCCCAGCCTCTTCCCTCCCCCGCACACACCGGCCCTCCGGAAAACAGCCGTCTTCGCTTCTCTTTCACAGTCCTGAGGGCTAAAAAAAAAAGAGTCCTGTCTCAGGGTGGCGACTGTGTTTCTGGCCGGACCCACCGTTTGTGCGGCCCCCTCTTCCCGTGCCAGTAAATGCATTCCTCCAAGTGGGCATTGATGAGCACCAGCCAGCTTTAACCACCCAGAAACCACGTCACCATGGCAACCACCTTTGTTCAGAAACACACTCTCCTTTAACCGAGACTGCAAAATTCCTGCTTAGATGGCTCCTGCGCCTTCCAATGCTTGCTAGGAGGTAATCCTGTCTAAAGGAAGGACAAAAATGACTATATATAACCTATACCTTCAAAATAATGTCAGAAAACCCAAAAGACAGTTGAAATTTTCAAAATGTAATCAACCCCATCCGACTACCTCCCAGATTTGATCCTGCCTAAAGGACTCCTTACAATTGGTCCAGCTCAAGCCAGGAAGAAACATTTTTAAAAATAATAATTAACATTTTGGTGCCATGGTGATGGGTGTTGCTAGGAAACCTCGGGTGTTGGAGAGGGGCAGATTCCACAAAGCATTGTCTTAAACTAAGAGCAACCACTCTAGACTCATTGGTAAAGTATTTGTGTGCCAGAGGGCAGAAAATAACTCCAACTAAAATCCAAGAGGCCTCACTGTCTCAGTGAAACTTCTTGGGAGTCCTGTGCAGAAATACAAGAGTATCCTATTAAAGGGAACAATAATTAGCTGTATCCAGCCCCTCCTACAATGGAGAGGCACAAAGCCTAGTGGACCTATTTGGACTTAGGAGGCAACACTTGCCTTGCTTGGATGTGTTATTCTGTGCCTTTACTCAGTGAATAAAAAAGCCACTAGTTGGACGAAGCCCACAGCAAGAGAATGCTGAGCAACAGGTCCAGACCACTGTGCAGGCTGCTCCACCACTTGGTGTACTTGGGGTGTCAGTGGCAGAAAGGGTGCTGCTGTTTGGAGCCTCTGTCAGGGCCCCATGGGAACCCCAGCAGATGCCCTGAGGATTTGGGAGCAAGACTCTGTCACCATCTGTAGACAATTCTCCCTTGGAGAAACAGCTCCTGGCCTGCTGCTGTGCGTTAATGGGAACTGAACGCTTGGCCATGGAACTCCCAGGTACCATACGACCTGAGCTGCCCATCAGGACCTATTCAGCACTCCAAGCCTGAAGGCCCACATGCACAGCAATTATCTATCATTAGTACGAAGTGGTGTATACATGAGGCCACATCTGGTCCTGAAGGCTCCATTCAGTTGGATGAAGAAGTGACCCAAATGTCCACAGTTCCTTCTTCAGCTATTCTGCCCTCTGTCTCCCAGGAAGCATCAATGGTTTCTTGAGGTATGTCCTATGATCAGCTGAGAGGAAGACAAAACTAGAGCCTGGCATACTTAGTGTCCACATGTTATTTAGGCACCTTCTCAAAGCGGACAGCTGCAGGTCTACAGCTCCTCTCTGGGACATCCCTGAAGGTCAGGCATTTTCACCATGCTCAGACATGAACCAGTGTGCTATTCTGCTTGAGTGGGTATGTCTTTTGCTACCATCATCGCCTCTAGAGCTCAGATTCCAGTTTCATGGCCTATCAGTGTGGACTCAACCTGTGACTCTCCACAGCTTTCACACCTCAACTTCTTGCACTGCGCAGCTCTTGGATCCTCTGGCTATAAAGAGGCACACAGCCCCTGTGGACTATCCTGCCTCTGCTCAAATTCCCTGGCATAATTATGTATTTTAGGGGCTGGAGAAATAGCTCAGTAAAATAAGCTAGATAAATAAATAGATAAATAATAAAATAATATAAATAGATAAATAAATAGGGGCTGGTGAGATGGCTCAGTGGTCTAAAGCACCTACTTAGAACAAGCGCAGCAAAGCCCAGGGACTATGGTTCAATCCCCCAGCACCACATGCCAGCCAGCCCGCCCCCTGGTGGGCTGAGCTGGCCACACACACACACACACACACATAAATAAATAAAAATTTTTTTAAAAAAATAAATAATAAATTATGTGGTTTTTTTTCTTTTTTTTGGCGGAACTGGGGATTGAACTCAGGCCCTTGCACTTGCCAGGGAAGCGCTTATTGCACTGAGCCATCTCCCCGGCCCCTATGTGTATTTTCTATTGGTTCTGTTCTCCAGAAAAATACGCTTGGAGAGTTTATTGGGGAATTAACAATGACACCAAATTGAAAAAAAAAACCCAAAACAAAAAACAATGACACCAAAGTTGAACGTGCTTTACAAGTTGTACTTATGGGATTAGTTTGCTTTAGTGGAAGAGAAAATCCTGGCCTCTCAGGATCAAACCCTGTCTCTAAGTCTCTAAGTCTTAACAGCTAATTAGAACCGAGTATTATCTCCACCCATCGAATTCTACCTAAATTTGAACCAAGCCTGGTTCACCTGGTGCAACTACTCATTTCTCTCAGCCTAAGGCAGTGGGGTCAGGAGAGAAACGTCCTGGGCTAGGGCCCCAGCTCTGCCATCGAGTTATACACTAGGACAGACACTTTTCCCCTGGCTGCCTCGGCTGCCATTTTAGAAATAAGAACAGTGCAACAGTTTGAATAAAAAATGTCCCCCAAATCTCCTGTGTTCAGAGGTTGGGTTTGAAAGGTGACGAGCGGCTTGAACGCTCATCTCACTGTCGCCACTCCGGGCGGGAGGCGGGGCCATGGGCGGAAGTAAGTCAGAGGGGCGTGGTTTGCGAGGGGGCGTGGCCTCTGCCTCTTCCTGCTAGCGCGGCTTCCTGTCTGCTCGGGCTTGGAGCCGCTCTGCTCGCCATATTGTTTGCTTTCCAGTCAGCGGAGCACGAAGCGAAACCGTGAGTCAACATAAATCTCTACTGCCTTAAGTCGTCCCTATCAGGTGTGCCTCGCCACGCCCGGTCGTCAGTCGCGATAGTGACCCTGGCGACCTCATTCCCTGTCACTCCCTCTCCTGTTTGCATCCAACCCCGGGGGTTTCGAGGGGTCGCTTGGTGTGACGAGACCAGGAGAGTCTCCTCCCTCGGCCCCACCCTGTAGTCTGCAGTCCCGGCTCTTCAGCTCCCGGGCGTGGGTAGCGCTGGGGACTCGCGGCCCGGCCGGGAGGGGGCGCAGTGGGAAGCTGGGGGCTGGGAGGTGCGGGGGGCGGCGCCTCTTCTTAGCCCGCGACCTCTTCTCTCCTCTCCGCCCTCGTCCGCTCCTCATTTCTCCTGTTCTCTCCGATTTTCCCTTCCCGCCAGCAGACCTGGGGACATAGGCCGAGTCCCGCCACACCTGTCGCGGAGAAGGCCGTGGGGCGCAGGCCGAGGCCGACAGCACCCATCCTGCCCTGGTCGCCGCTGGAAAGCGCTGGGCCTGGCCCCGGGGTGACGTCGGAATCGCCCTCGAGGTCCCTGGGGTCCCCAGTGCCCAGAGCACAGTGAGCTCTGCGGTGAATTATTTGGAAGATAATACCTTCCCCGACCCACCCTGATCTCCAGCCCCAGCTTCGTCACCCACCCGGTCCCCCGGGGCCTTATAAAATAATTGGGGGAAGGTGATGTGAAATGGGTGGTAGGTGAAATGGGTGGTAGGCAAGTGTTTTATCACCGAGCTACACCCAGGCCCTTTTTACGTTTTCACATTTATTATGTTTGTTCGTTTGAACACGTGTGTTGAGTGTTACTGTTGTTTTGTTTGATCTTTTATTTCTTGAGGATTGAACTCAGGACCTTTGCATTGAGCTCCATCCCTGACACTTCCTACTGTTTTGAGACAGGCTCTGGCACATTTGCCCACATAGGCTGAAATTTGCTACTGTCCTGCCTTACCTGCCCAGAGTTCAGTGATTACAGATCCATGACACTATATCTCAATTTATAGTCTTAAAAAGACTGGTAGGTATAGAATTATTAGGACGGGATAAGAGGAGGCTCTAGCAGCTAAGGGCCATGGGTACCCAGAGTAGAGAAGCTGATGGCCTGGATTTAAAAGGTGACAGTAGGGACAAAAAGTGGAAATATCTGAAATCGAGTTTGGAGAGGTAAAGGAATTCAATGATGGACTGAATGGCAAGGGATGGAGAGAGAAAAAAATCAACAGGAAGTTCCTGAGTGGTTGGTAAAGCCATGCTGTCAAGTGAGGAAACTAGTTGGAAAATAAGTTTGGGAATGGTAATACAGTGTTCTGCTTGGGGGTTTAGGATGCAACGTGAAGTTATCCAGACATCAGGACTGGAGGCCAGATGAAGAACATGGATGTAAGAAAAAATTTGAAGCACAAAGATGATATTCACAGCACTAAGAATAAAAGGCAGGACTGAGAGTATATAGTTCATGCAGGAAGCACAGGGTTTGATTCCATCAATCAAGATCAGAGAGGAGAGGCCGGGGTGATGGCTCAGTGGAATAAGCACTTTCCTGGCAAGCGTAAGGGCCTGAGTTCAATCCCCGGTTCCACCAAAAAAAAAAAAAAAAAGAAAAGATCAGGGGCTGGGGAGATGGCTCAGTGGAATAAGCGCCTCCCTGGCAAGCGCAAAGGCCTGAGTTCAATCCCTGGTTCCGCCAAAAAAAAAAAAAATAGATCAGAGAGGAAAGACTGGGGGATGTGTTGGGGGTTTGGAACATCAATGCTTAGAGATGAGGAAGAGGAAGGACCTGCCAAGGATTGGCCAGAGAAGTAGGAAGAAACCAAGAGAGACCTAAGCAAGGACATTGTTTGAAGCCTTCAGTTATGCTAAAATTCTCTGAGAGGACGGCATACACATCCATTGTAGAGATTGTATATGAACTTGCACAGGAGTGTCAGTGGCATGGGACAGATAGAGAAGCTGTCGAGGTGTATATGCAGACAAGTCTCTCCAGAGGTTGGGGATGGTGAAATGATACTGGGGCAAGGTAGAGGAGTGATTTAGTATTGATGCACAGTCCTACATTTGTACTTTTAGGAACGAACCAGTAGAAAATGACAGGTCAAAGATCCCAGATGAGCTGGGTATGGTGACATACCTCCATAATCCCACCTACATAGGAGGCTGAGATAATTGGTTGGAAAGTCAAGGCCATCCTAGACATCAGTGGGTTCCTGACCTGAAAATATGAGCCAGGCATTGTAACACATGCCTGTAATCCCAGCACTCAGGAGGAAGAGCAGGAGAATTGCTTCCAGCTCCAGACCAGCCTGGGCTACATAATGAACTCAAGGACAGCCTGGGCTTATACAGCAAGACTCTGTCTTTAAAATAAAAAAAAAAAAATGGGGTTGGGGACATGACTCAGTGGTAGAGCACTTGCCTAATATGTGTGAGGTCCTATACTGGAGGGACAAAAATGGGCCAAAAACTAAAACAGTGGCCAGTTTTTCTCTGTAATTTGTAATTATTTTAATTTGTATCCTCATTTTTCAGACTCTGAATACCTTTGTGGTTTTTGGTTTGTTTTGTTTTTGGCAGAACCAGGGATTGAACTCAGGCCCTTGTGCTTGCCACACAAGCGTTTATTCTACTGAGCCCCACATTTGTCATTTTATGGTCTTACCAAGCTCCTTAGGACTCCACTGACCATGCCAGTTTGCTGTGATGGTGCTTTGGAAAAAGGAATAAAACTGTTGGCAGCCATTAAGAAATCTATTTTAGGCTGGGGAGATGGCTCAGTAGAATAAGCAAGTACAAGGGCCTGAGTTCAATCCCTGGTTCCGCTAAATAAATAAATAAATAGTTTGTTTGGGCTGGTGAGATGGCTCAGTGGTCTAAAGCACCTACTTAGAACAAGCTAAGCTAAGCAAAGCACAGGGACCACGGTTCAATCCCCCAGCACCACATGCCAGCCCGCCCACCCCCTGGTGGGCTGAGCTGGCCACACATACAAATTAATTAATTAATTTAAAAAATCTATTTTTAAAAAAAGAAAAGAAATTATTAAAATGTAGAGAGAAATGTAGAAAAATTAAGCTTATACATAAGCAGGTTTATAATCCCTCCAAGTTAGAATTTTGAGTCCCTTTACATTTGTGAATTTGTTGTAGGTAGTCTGGGAATATAACCTGAGATAAAAGCCATGAGACCTGAATAATTTGTATAAATATTTAGGAAAAAATGCTATTAGTAATTTCTTTTTTTAAAAAATTATTTATTTATACATTTATTTATTGTGTAGCCAGCTCA